ACAAAGGTGATGATGTACAAAACCTTAGTCAAAACGTTGTACATTTGACTGTTATAGTTAAACTTATATTAAAGTTTTTCTTCATTACCCATTCAAGCCGTCTCTAACCATTATTAAACTCTGGGTAAGCTTAAAAAGAACTTCGATTGCATGTGTTTTTATAACTAATTCTGATGAAGAACTTCCTTGTATTTTTTAGTACACCTTGCCTCAATAATAGCTTATTCTTATCAATTTAGTATATGGTAAAGCATCAGCTTTTGTATATCTGTTTAGTTTGTATTGATATCTAATTTCAGAATTTGTAATTAGTAGTACAGCAAGCTCTGTGAAAGTTTTCTGCTTTTGAAATCCTAACCATTTCATTGTGCATTTTTTAATAGTTTTTACTAGGAAGATTAACATCCACATGTAAGATAAGATTTGCAGTTATTCAATGTAAGGTAGAGATTCATTGAAACTTTGTCATTGTTATTTATTATTCTTTGCAAAATTTCTAATTCTAATTTAGTTGTGATTAAAACTTACTGTGAAGCATGTTTTTGAGATTGAGTGCATCGTAGGAGTGGTACATAAAATGGTGTGAAGTGTTGAGCTGAGTTGTGAGAAATCAGTGTGACATCATAGAGTATCTGATGTCACTATACATCATGAAAATTATCTGTACTAAGTTCTGAGCCATCTTTAATACTGCAAGTTAGGGATTTAAATTCTAACTAACTGTTGAAATGATAGTTAATGTTGTGATAATATATTTATCTATTAACTAAGCTGCATATCAGCTTGTTAGCATTACTGAAGTAGGGTTGTAGTAAAAATTCTTACTTTGTATTCTCAAAGGTGTGGAGGTGTAGATTTATTTGCCCAGAGAGGGAAGATAAAAATTAGTAATACACTGGAGAAGAAGCTAGAATTGATAAGCCAACAGGTAAGTTGAAAGCATGTAAAGCATATGATGTCACACTATAGTGCTTTGTGTCATATACTTGCAAAATATTATCTTATGAGAGTATCTGTGCCTCTTTACCTTAAAATTATAATTTTTCTTTTCTAACATTTAAATTCATTTTGATTTTTATAATTTGTCGACTTTGTACGTTTGCAAATGAATAACGTTTAACATGTTAAAAGTAAGAAAATACAAGTTAAGCATAAGAGAAATATACTATGATATATGTGAATAATCAGACATTTTCTTGTTTATTTATTTATGTAGTATATCATATGACAAGTTTGATACCATTCTGTATAAAATTAGTACTGGCTAGCCCCATCCAACAGTAAAGGTTGCTACAGTGTTGTATTCATCACAACAGATGGCACCATTGTATTTACTATTTCGGTCACATAGATAGATAGATGGCCATGCCATTGCTCCATTATAGTAAGACTCGCTAGTTGTTAATTGTTTTTATATTTAAAGCAAAACATAATTCCTTAATGAATTTTCCTTTTGTTTCTAATGTGTTTAAGACCTACTGTTGTCTCGAAACTCATGAATTTTAAAGTATTTGCAGCTTATTTGATTTATGAAGAAAAAAACCTAATATGTCATAAAATTCATTGAATTTTTCAGTGTGTTTTGTGACCTATATGGATTTTGAAGAAATAAATACATTATGAAAATTGTCGATTGAAATATAAAGCTGTATTGACCTATTTTTAATTCATAGTTGAAAGTAGAATGTGTAACGAGTTCTTGTGCCAGGTGTACTGCATATGATAGTGGTTACTTAAATAGTTTGATTTGAAGTAAGTGGCATTTAACATTATGGAAAGAAGAGGAGCAGGATTTTTTGTGTACAAATATTGGCAAAAGTTGGTGTACAAAAGCATATTTTGCATTGGAAAACACAAATCTTTTTCCATTTTTCTAGAACAGCGGTCTCTTATCAGGTTTTAAGCATGCTGTCAGGAGAGTACACAGAGACTAGTCTTGTGTGTATTATCTGAGCGTGTTATTAATTTAAAACTATCCAGACTGCAGAACTTCCTTCATGTGTCAAGAGTACACCTGTATAAAAATAATTTTACAACTTAAGTAAAAATAATCCTAATGGTATTTTAACAATTTTTGATTCACTGATATTTTAAAATTGATATTTTGTAATTCACAAAGAAAATAAAGTATTCCAACAGCTTATTGATTTTCTTTATAATTTTTCTACCATTTGAATAGGGTTTGTTTTTACTAAAAAAAACTCTATATCATGTTTCTCAAGTGATTTATTCTTCTTTATTAGTAGTTTTATTAATACAGTCTTTTGTTTCCACATTTTATGATGTCACAACATGTGGTCTGAACTTCTTCGGATTTTCCCTTTAGCAGAAGTCGTCATCCTTCACCCACTTGAGATGGATTCCTGTATTTGGTTAGGGGATCTTCCAGGGAAGGTTCTGTATTTTCAGTTTACCTTCTCTGGGATCTAAACATCCACCCACTTGTTTGCCATGTGTGGTGACTCATGAAAGGGAGGAGAGGATTCTGGTGGTTGAGGGATGTCCTTGATTGGTCAGTTTGTCAATAGCACTTTAACACACCATTTGCCTTGAATTCCTGTGGATGGGCAGCCTTGGGGTGGTTAACCAAGGCTCAATTGGCTGGTCTAGTTGGACTAGGGTCAACAAAGTACCAGTGTTAAACATTCTCAGCGGGTGTTGTGGATGTTGTTTCTGATACTGGAGTTTGGGTATAGTGTCCATGAAACCCTGGTATTTCTACAATGCTTGGCTATTGCATTGTAGTGTGTCCCTTTATAGGACTCCATGGTGGGTGGGGTCAGTGGGCACTGAAATATGTCCTTTTTCATGGATCCTACACCCAGTGACCCAAAAAAACACACAAAAAATAATGGTAATTGGAAAACAACCATGTTTGGAAGTCTCTGAACAGCAGTCTCCATCCCATTCTGTGCTTGTACCTCCTTTTTCATTATGCATTCTGTCAGACAAACCTTTTAAACAAATGTCTCCCTTTTTTATTCAGAAGGGATTAGACGGGCTTGCTGGCTCTCCAAAGTCAGTGAAGAAGCTATGTTCTGGGGGCATCTTGGTGGAAACATTTACATTAAAACATAGTGAACTCCTCCTGAATTCAAAGGCCATTGAGGATATACCTATTGAGGTTACTCCCCATGCTACTTTGAATTCCTCCCGAGGAGTTATCGTTGAGAAGGATTTGAGAAACATCTCCGTGTCCGAGATACTCACTGGTTTCTCCAGCCAAGGAATTTCTACTGTGCGATGTATCTCCACTCGTAATGAAGGAATTATGCTTCTTACCAATGTTCTTATTTTGATGTTTAAAAGCTGGTTGTCCAGCGTGTACCCACTTTGTCTGTGCCACTTGGTGGCTGTAGCTGTCTGTATCTCTGTGTGTTGTAACATCACTGTTTGTTCTCTGTACCTGTCTTTTGTAGAGACTTACAATCATCATACCTTGATGCTCTCATAGAACAGCTGCCTTTTCCCTTTTTAATCCTGCGAGACTTTAATGGACACAATCCACTTTGGGATGTGCTATTATTGATGTTTGTTCTCTGTACCTGTCTTTTGGAGAGACTTACAATCATCATACCTTGATGCTCTCATAGAACAGCTGCCTTTTCCCTTTTTAATCCTGCGAGACTTTAATGGACACAATCCACTTTGGGATGGTACTGTTATTGATGTTGGGGGCTGTTCTGTGGAGTGAATGTTCTCAGATAACAACCTTTCTTCAATTCTGGTTTGATTACCTCTTTTCATGCACCTAGTCAGTTATTTACTGCTACTGATTTATCTATCTGTTCCTCTTTACTTTTTTCTTGTTTTTCTTGGAGGGTAGACAGTGACCCATAGGGTAGTGATAATTTTCCCAGTGTTTTGAGGAAGGTTGGTCGTGGTTGATGCCACCTGAACTGAGTGCCATGGTGGAAGTTGGAGTAGGCTGACTGGTTGTCCTTCACCACTTTCTTGGAACTAGATCCTACTGTCATTTATCTTCCATCTATTAATGACTGCATGGAGGCAGTAACTGATTGTATAATTCAAGCAGCTGTTCATTCTATCCCAAAACTTCAACATGTTTCACACGGTATCCTCAGCATTTCACTCTTAAAACCAAAAAATAAAAATAGAATAAACTGCTAGACTGTTGTTGTGGGTATAAGTTTAAATGGAAATCGTGACTCAAGGTCTTACACTAACTATGAAAAAGTGCAATACAAATACGCAAAATTGTTGTGTTATTGTATTTCTGATAACTGAGAAGAAATTAAATTGCAAGTGTAAGGTAACTTCATACACATTCAAATCTCAATAAAGCACAACTTTTATCATAAGATGTATCTAATACTGTAAAACAGTCTATCTGTGTCTCTCAGTCATGCACTGTTGTCATAGTAACTTATTACATAATTTAAGTAGTTTGATTCCTGTCAATTAGAAGCAAGTAATCTACGATTGATCGAGAATTAAAGATATATTTAAACTAAAATATAGAAAAAATTGCAAGTTTTCACAATTTGAAAATGTATCTTTCTTAAACTCTCGATTTACACCAGAAAAGATGTAAATATATTTTAGTAGACATTTTATACAACTTATTAAAAGCTTATCAAAGCTTTTAAAAAGGTTTAACGTTAGGCCATAGAATAATATTAGAAGGTTATTTATTGATAGTATTAAGTGCAGTAAGGTTTAGCCCTAACTGAACTACAGCAAAAAATGTACACAAGTTAGTGTTAATTTATCTCTTTATTGAATATAGGCCATACTTAATAAAGGCTTAACTAATGTTAGGACTGAGACAAGTGGACTTGCAGATTTCAGTGTCTGTTATTAGAATTATTTTGTATTACTCTCGAAATCCTGTATTTAAAGAAGAACTGTTGTAATAAAGATACTAATTTAGCTGCAAGTATTTTGCAGGTCTCTGCTAGTACTTACATACATCTAGGTAATTAAAGAGTAGTAAATTTATGCACTGTACCAAAGTTACTACTATTTATCAAATATCAAGGTTTAGGTTAAAATTTTTTTATTTTTTGGATTAGTAGGTTAGTAGCACATGTTTTTATAAGAAAAAGCATACAAGATCTAACTTAAAAAACTAAACCAATGAGTCTTTTCATGTGTCAGAATGACTAATTGTAACATTTGAAAGTTATCACTGAAGAAAAGGTGTTTTGTCATGTGTTTGTGAATTCTTGCATTAAAATTGGATGGAGTAGGTGTGCAGGTGTTTAAAGAAAAGTTGTTCGATTTGATTGTTTGAAATAACTACTAAGAAATAAATGAGTTAGAAAAATCTTTCATTGGGAATGAGGATACTGTTATTTTATGTAAGAATCTTGTTTGGCTCCTTTTTTGAACACGTTTCAGTTTCTAGTTTATTTTGTGTAAACGATTTGATCGCAGAATTATTCATTATCAGCAATCATTGTAAAATCTGTCATCATACACAAAGTTATAGATTTCTTCATGGAAACTTTACAGATATATGTATTTAATTCTGTATTTTAGTTTATGAAACCACAATTTGCTCTATCTTTTTTAAAAAAAAATTGCAGTGGCCCACTGGGAGACCTGGAATTCTTAATTCTTTTGGTAGGCTGAATTATTGGAGAGATTGGTGTAATGTCATGATTTGAAGGCTACAGGAAATGGCTACAACTGTATAATGTAACCTTCAGGTCATGACCAGCTGGTAACTACAATCTCAAGTAATACCAGCCCTCACTCCTGTAAACCAAGCTAGGTTTAAAACATGAATGGTTTTTTTAGGCACTCAACTTTAGTCCCTTGTGTTATATAAGTATATATGAATCAGAAAAGTATGACTGTTGACTTTAGCATATAGTTCCTATCAGAAAAGGGAAAGGCAGCAGCTTACATCTGGCAACAAACAGCTTATAATGACTTAATTGAGAACTGTAATGTTATACAGTTTCATTTTCACAATTAAAGATGAATAACCCTTAATTAGTATGTTAAACAGGTAACCTACATTTAAACTTCTGAATAAACCAGGTTGTTGAAATGTAATGTTACAGTGTAATCTTTTGAGTTTAGATAAAATAATTTATACACAATTCAGTATTTTTTTTATCAGTATCTGAATGTGACAAAACTTTTCTATCATTTTCTCTGAATATAATATCGAGAGAAGTTTTGAAAGTTACTCTAAGCATTAGTTCTTCAGCTGGTTTGGTATCATCATAACCTAGCTAAAACTAGAGTTCTATGTACAAATGTGCAGGATGCTTTTATTGACAATTCTTATTTACTATTATAAAGGTTAGATGACCAACTTGTTAAAAATACACTCACATCAATGGTATCTGTATATTTGTTATTGTATATTTCTTAAAAACCACTGGATTTTCTTTTCTGAAGAAGAGTATTTGTTTATTTCAAGTATTTTACATTAATAGCATTCAAGAACCATGAATCTAATATTATTATGGATTGTTCTTGTTTGTATGATACATTCACTTGTTTAAAAGCTGTTTGTAAAGTCTTCTGTGAATATATGCATTTACCTAAATACATACGTTAGTCTTTTATTAAGAATTTGGGAATTTTAAAAATAAAAGTTAATACTTTGAGTAACAAACATCAATTTCAAAATATTGTTACTGAAATTATGCACCCTTCTTGTAGATATAATTTTTTAAATATTTTGTTTAAACTGTCAGGGTAGTTGGAAGATTTTGTCGAGATTGTGAGGCATCAAAAAAAGGTTTAAAGTTTGGAAAAATTAGTTGAAGAAATCTTATTTGAAGGTGTGCAAGTGATTAGGTACTGATTTGAAACTGGAAAAGTAAAATGTTTTCTTTTGAAATTCAATAGAAATTAAAAAATTGTCTTATTTTTTAGCTTTTGCCTGACATACGAACAGCTCTCTTTGGAAGTAATCCAAATCGAAGATTCATGGACTAGGCAAGTTCCCAAGGAAAATAAATTATATTGTATGAATTTCAGTAATTGTATTGTCTTGAGTAACTTATCAAGCAAGGTTTAATTTTTCATATAAAGTCATCTTTATAGTAGGTTTTGAGGTATTTGAATTGAATGGTAAAGGCTTTTGTGATGGATTTTTTTTTTTTTAGCATAATGTCTATGTTAAAGTTAGATGACCAGAAGTGCATAGACAAAACACAGTTCCAGTTCAGCACTTGTCATTCCATAATGATTGTAAAGGGTTGCCATTACAGTTAAGGAAGTTTTAAAAGTTGTCAAGCTTAATTTTTCAACTTGGTATAGGAATCTGTGATTTACCAGATGTACATCAGTATGATCTGTTGAGTATCAGATACTTAGAGATTCAGACTAAGATATATGTATAACAGTACATTTGTAAGTGTGGATGTTATTGAACCCTTTAGAAATGTTGTGGTTTTTACTTTTTTTTTATCAGCTTATAATTTATAAGCTTTACAGTTATTGACTATTAGCTGCATTTTTTATTTGTTTTTATTAAACTTTTAGCTGTTATGTTATTTGAAGTAAACACTTCATAAAATTTCCAAACTTAAGTGTTGACTCTTACTGGTTGGACATTAAAGTCACTTGAAGAGTGTACTGTATCAAGAAAAACAAAATTAGAATATCAAAACTCCCAACACTCTTGAAAAGGGCATTAACTGCTTCATAACTACATGTTTCTTAATTTTTAACTTACATTTTCACTTTATAAATATTCTGTGAAATTCCTTACAAACAGATGTACGAATGTCAGATTAAGTACTTTGAAAATTTTGATTGAGATACAAAATGATTATCTAACCAATAAAATTGTGAAGTTCATTACTTTTTCCAGTTACTTCAGAAATATATTGATGAAGATAAATCTATATATAGTACACCAGTAAAGAAACCTTAGTTATAAGATAGCAAAATATGCAAGTGAGTAAAAATACCCACTAAATTGGACTGATATATTTTTAAGTTTACCCATTCTTTATTGACAACAGATAGGACTGTTTGGCAAGCTTTTTTTTTTTTGCTTTTTTTGGATTAATAAAATGGAAAGAAAAAAGAAGAAACAAATATGAAAATAAAAATGCATACATCAAGAAATGTGTAGTTAAGAAAATCAAGCCATTGAATAATATTGGGATTGCTTATGTGTGTTTAGATGTTATGTGTATATATATATAGTCAAAATGCTCTTTAAATGATACATGTCTCTAAAAGTACCTTATAAAAATTAAAGTGATACATCACACTAAACAGTGCACTCGACTCCAGTAACAGTTTTAGCTGGATGTATTCAAGTTAAAGGGAAATATTTCGGGTATTTCTTGAAATGGTCTAGTGATATATTTAAGTAATACTAAACTACAGTGAAAGATATCTTAAAATGAATAGTAACATTTCGTTCGTGCACTGTGAGCTTGTTTTTCTTTTTCCATAATGTTGTATAGGAAACAAAATTCTCCTTCTGTTCATTGGAATATCAAAATAATTTAAGAAAACTTGAAGCGTGTAGTTGTGTGTGTAATATTCTGCACAGATTAATGGTAGTTGAAATAAGGTATGTGTAAATACAGGTATTTTGCTGTAATTTGTGGTATCAAAATCTTGGAATATGTAGTCATTTTTACACTTTTTTTTTTTTCAACCTAGCTCTAAGTGTCAGAACAATTAAAGTTTAAGCTATAGGTAAACTGAAATACTATATTTCTTATGTTGAACGAGTAAATAACAAAGTTTAAGATGTATTGATATTGTTGTATATTTCCTTAACTATTTGTTATATTGACTTGTAGAGAGAGAGAAAGTAGAACAGTTAATTTATCATTGTCATCCATGTTTCAGATTACTGTAAGAATTGTTGAAATGATGAGTTAGTGTATGAGTTTTAAAAAATAAAAAGTCTGAAAACTCTAAAGTAGAAACTGTCTGAGTAAACTGTAAGAGTTCATTTTTGTTTTGGAACTGTTGTTGTGAAGCATTCTAACTTTTTGAGTCATAGTTGTTTAAAAATGGAAAGTTGAGAATTTACCACACATTGTTCAATATTGAAAGATTTGAATATATTGCATAATATAGACATTCATTGCTAGTTAAATGAGACATTTTGTTGCATTACGTACAGTAGCATCATGGTTGAACAATATTCAACTAGTTATACTTGTTAACCTTCTGAAATATTGCTTACCCAATTTCCTTTGTTCCATGTATATGTTGCAATAAAAAGTAGAGGGGCGCTCAGTAAAGAGCATACCTCCGCCATGCAGCATTGAACATATTCGGCCCTCAAAAAATACGAAAATGTGTCCATATATCTATCCTTACCAAATGGACATGGACCATTTTTGGCAGGACAATGAGGAATAATATTCTACAAATGTCCACCAAGTTTCATCAAAATCTGATCATTTTTGACTGAATTGGATAGAGCAAAAATAGTATGAAAAATTGGTCTCGATGTTAACAGATAGGATTTTTGTAACCTTGATCCTCCAAAAACTAATCTCTTCTGACTCATAGTACAAATGTATACCAACTTTTGTCCAAATCCATTTTCTTGTTTTTGAAAAATTTTGCTGACAAACACACACAGGTGAAAACGTGATTTCCGTCCACCTTTGGTGGCAGCAGTAAACGTTAGGGGTGCATATCTCGTAGTTGTTGATACATATATTGATGCCACAATATGATACGTATCTAGATACAGAAGTTTTAACAACAGTTCGTTACAAAGTTTGACAGTCTTGTCTGTAATTTATTATCTATATTACTAACTTTGTCTTATTTAACTACTTCACATTTACAATGCTTTTTCAAATTCTCAGGTTTGATAAACTAAATGGCAGCTGGCAAGAGAAGTAAAATAAAAGTTCATATCTGTCTATCTAACTTGTTATTGTTAATGTGTTATGTTATTTTGCAGGTAATGTTTTTGATAAAAGAAATGAAGACAACATGTAGTACTCAATACTAATCTTCCTTTATTGAATCATTAATTTTTAGCAAAAATACTTTATTCTTGACAGGATACTCGTATGGTATCACTGTATCGCCACACCTTTAGTAAATATATCTGTAGTATCCCTAAGTTAGGTTTTATAGCAAAAAGTATTTGACTAGTTGTCGTAGATGTACATTTTTTTGAGTGGATAGGTAAAATATTTGATACTACCCTAATAACCAAGAGGAAATTATGATGATGTATGACAAAACTATAAATCCAGAAAGAGCTATGTCAAATAATCTTTAAATTAACAAAGAAGAATTAAAAGAAAAACTTTCTAGTCTTTAATTACGATACTAAATAAGGTAATACAAATCTGTTTCATGGTATGGTAAATTTGAACCACATTACTATGATTGGTAACAATTACAATGTAAACAAAACTTTCCATAGATTTCCTGTGTGAACACATAGTTTGTAAATAAACACTACATGGACATTAGTATAAACATACCGAGTCTTTTTTTCACAGCTTCGTTTGGGTAACTGTATCTGTGTTCTTTTGATAGAGCCACTGTTTTGAAGTTTTTGAATTGTTGGAACTTGAACTTGAAATGTTCATGATAATTTCATTTCTCATATACTGCTCAACTTTCAACCTTCTGGGGATTTTCGGGCCTTTAGGTTCAGGTAGAATATTTGTCGAAAGGTTTGTTTAGGTGTAAGATGGAACTTCCCAGGATGGGCTTTACTATTTAGCAGATAGAAACTTACTAGAAACATTTATTGATGCAGTAAATACAAATTCCTGGAATTGAATGTCAATAAAACATCTAATAAACTCAGGATAGGCTTGTTATTGTCATTTATATAGAGAAATTCGCAGATCTTTGGTTACATTTGCAAATTTCTCAGGATTTAGCTGTAATAGAAACAATTTCCTTGGACTGGATTGTTTCTGTTGAGGATGGAAAACCTTGGGATTGTTTAGGTATTCAATAGATGTGTAAGCAGTGTTGTTGAGGTGTCATTTAGAACCTCTAGAAGACTGAAAGACTTTGGTCCTTCGGATAGAATATTTGAACATATTTTTTGTTATAATCTAAAATCTTACTAGACAGACTTGTCAAGTCATTTAAAATTGTTGGTGTAAAACGTTTTTGGAAAGGTTTGGTAACATGAGTGATAGGTTTCTTAAGGTATTAGTAGGTCTTGTGGACAGCCTTTATTAGGAAGTAGATAAAGTTTTTCAAGATAAGTTTACTTGTATTAATAAACCATAAGTGTCGGGAGATACAGTGCAATTTAATAGAATTACAGATACTGTTATGTATCTTTAAATGAACTAAGTGTCTAATAATGATATAAAACGTTTCAACAATATTTTGCATTCAGGTGTACATGTAACTTTAAGAGCCAATAACTAAATTGTTCAGAATTAGCGAATCTCAAATGTTAGTAATCAGTGACTACAAAAAGTGTCAGACCCACAATGTTAAGCTGGTTAATGTTTGCACAAGTGAATGACGAATATCAAGCAACTGAATCTTATTTTAAACAGTGAACAAACTGTAGGTAGAAACTACATAAGGACCATAGAATGACGAATATCAAGCAACTGAATCTTATTTTAAACAGTGAACAAACTGTAGGTACAAACTACATTAGGACCATAAAATGACGAATATCAAGCAACTGAATCTTATTTTAAACAGTGAGCAAACTGTAGGTACAAACTACATTAGGACCATAGAATGACGAATATCAAGCAACTGAATCTTATTTTAAACAGTGAACAAACTGTAGGTAGAAACTACATAAGGACCATAGAATGAAGAATATCAAGCAACTAAATCTTATTTTAAACAGTGAACAAATTGTAGGTAGAAACTACGTAAGGACCATAGAATGACGAATATCAAGCAACTGAATCTTATTTTAAACAGTGAACAAATTGAAGGTAGAAACTACGTAAGGACCATAGAATGACGAATATCAAGCAACTGAATCTTATTTTAAACATTGAACAAACTGTAGGTAGAAGTAGTACTACGTAAGGACCATAGAATGACGAATATCAAGCAACTGAATCTTATTTTAAACAGCGAACAAACTGTAGGTAGAAACTACATAAGGACCATAGAATAACGAATATCAAGCAACTAAATCTTATTTTAAACAGTGGACAAACTGTAGGTAGAAACTACACAAGGACCATAGAATGACGAATATCAAGGAACTAAATCTTATTTTAAACAGCGAACAAACTGTAGGTAGAAACTACATAAGGACCATAGAAAGACGAATTTCAAGCAACTGAATCTTGTTTTAAACAGTGAACAACTAGGTAACAACTACGTGAGGATCACAGTTCTCTGCAGGCTGTTA